CGTATAATGTCCTTCCTGTGAGCCAGGTACTCTTCTAAGCCCTGATCTAAGGGTTTCATGAGTTTTTACTCATCCGATTCTTGCAACAACCCTGTGAGGTAAATACCATTTAATCACCATTTTACAGGACACAGAGACTCATAAAGGTTAAATAATTTACATAATATCACAACGTAAGAAAATAAAGTAGGAATTGAAACTGAGTCTCACGCCCGAACTTGTTCCTCTGGTGCTACACCTTTTCCCATATGTAAATGCACACTTATACAGATATATTGTTACTTTTAACTTACATGGAATCAGTCCAACCAGTGTGTGTATATTTTGCTTTTCTTCACAATTCCATTCTAAGCTCTGCTCAACAGTGGCGGGGTGCGGGGCGGGGGTAGACTAAAGCTAGTGGTCTCTTTCCTGCATCAGTAAAGAATGGCTGAACCTCTGTGAAAGGCAATTTGACTGTATTTACCAAAATTTTAAATTTCACTACAGTTAACTGTACGGTTAACTCAGAGCATGGCCCCTCACTTTTAAATTTCAAATGAGCCCCAAAATACATGTACAAAAATATTCATATGTTCACTATGATGAAAATACCACCAAAATATTTACCAATAGGGAACAATTACACCATATCCAACCTACAGAATATTATGCAGCCACAAGAAGAATGGGGGCAGATGGGTGGCTCCATAGTGTAGTGGTTGTTAGCACGTCTGCTTTCCACGCAGAAGGTCCTGGGTTTGCACCTCAGGTGGAGCCACGGACCATACCTCAGGTGCATCAGGCCCCGCCAGTGCACCGGGGGTGCCAGGCCCAGTGCACACCGCCAGCACGTGGGAGGCGATGCCCCACCGCCAGAGATCCAGTTCTTAAAGGGAGACGTCAACTTCTGTAGGTCAGGGGTGGAAGGGAGGGGAGAATTAAAGAGTGGGGCACAGGTCAACAGTATCTACTTTGAAAAATCTCCAAGAGGTATGTTTGTTAAAAATTAATAAAACCAAAATCAGATTACAAAACAATATTTACGGTATGATCCTGCTTACCTTAAACAAAGAAAACCACCCCAGATATATGTGTTACATATTTCTAAATGTATAAAAAAAAACAGTTCTGGAAGGATACACACCGTACAATTAGCAATGGTTTCTTCCAGGGAGGGAAACAGGGCAGGGGAAACGCGACTTTAACTGTTTACTTATAGACTCGCAGGTGATTTGAATATTTGAGAATAAGCACGTATTATCTCGCTACTTAAATTTTTGAAACTAAAACAAAAAGATTGACTCTAAAGCTGAACTGACCCTAAAGTTAGTACTGGAAAAGTTGGGACGACGGTGAAGCTAAACATTGAGGAGACAAATCACCAGGTTGGGACCCTGGGGGCCGAGGAACTTTGCCGAAAGCAAGATAACAGGTGGGAAGGGGTTAGGATATTCAGGTGGAGTGAACTGGCAGGAAGTAAAGGAGCAGGGTTGAGACGAAACAAAAACGTGGAGGGAAGGGATGAGAGAGGAGCAGGAGAAGAGCCACGAGAGCACAGCGGACCGAAGATCAGGGATCGGGCCAAGTGCAGCCTCCCAGAGGCGGTCTCCCCAGTCTGCAGAACTGCGCTGCCAACCCATGACTCGGGTTTGCATCCAATCTGAGGTTCTCTCGTTGTATTTAGAGACATGGATGGTCCTGTAAATGAATGAAGCAGTCCAGTGTAAGACCATGTGGCAACCAAAACTTGGCCGCCATGTTGGGAACAGTAGGAGAGGAGGGGACTGGGGCAAACTAGAGAGCTCACGTTCTGATAAAGGCGGCCAAACTCTCTCCCGCTGATGACTGCCACATGGAAATGCAGACCCCAACTGTAGGGTTAACTCAGAGCATGACCCTCCACATACTCGGAAGACTGATGGCTGCCCAGCCAGCAGCCAAGGCAGGCAGCGCACAAGAGCTGTCAGCAGTCCCTGCTCCCAAGGACGTTATCTGCTCCTGTCACCAAGCAGCGCATGTTGCTCCCACCTGTCGGAGAAGCTGCTCCCGCAAGGAGATGACCCCTCCCTCTGCTTGTGGGCATAAAAACTTCTGCTTGCTCTTGGTCAGCAGCTTTATTCCTGCAGCTTCAAGCAGCCGCTGCCGAGGCTTCCCTGCCTTGTGAGTAATAAATGGCATTTCTCACCCCTCTCGTCCTCCTGATGGTTCTTCCGGAATATTCAAACTCAGGTGCACGTTCCAGGCCTGGGGCTCCTGCGATACACCAATCCAAAGCCTGCTTAGGCCCACTGGTGCAGACAAACAAAACACATGGGAAGCCCAGCCTGGGCCCATAGGCCACCGGTGAGTGACCTCCGGTGTAGATGAAACACCTGCAGGTTAGAGAGTGAGCTTGCCCACAGCACCCAGCGTCCGCCAAAGAGTAAACGTCCATCATCACAATCCTCCTCCTCCAGCGGCCACGTGTGGAGGGTGGCGGGTGAGCCCGCGGGGCCGTAAGGGCCTGTCGGGGCTGAGTGGTGTGGAGCTGACCTTCTCAACAGTATTCTCAGTGCTGTGGGGAGCAGGTCCTTAGCAACTTGCTGGCTTGACGTTACTTTGTTGCTTTATTTCAAATCTCCGTATCTTGAGGATTTTTTGATTTATACCTCAGACTTCTTAAACACACTTAAAAATCAAATGCACGTGTTACCAAAGCCAAGAGAGCCCAAAAGACACTTCCTGATGACTCACGTCAGTTTGCTTCCACTTGGTGGGAGCTGTGCCACCCAACCAACCACTACTGTTTAACCTACAGAACTCCTGTCTCCCAACACGCCAGCTGTGTGTGCACATGCGTGTGTGTGTGTGTGTGTGTGTGTGCGCGCGCACGCGTGAATTGCTGGAGGGTTTATTTGCTTCCTTTTATATTTTTTATGAGTGAATCAAAATTAACTTTGAGACTTTCAGTTTCCAGTCCAGCATGTAAGGAGCTCAGAAGTCTCCAGTCCATCCTAGCAAGTGAAAAGCCGAACAAACTAAAAATTTAACAACTCTTCTTAGATCTGTCAGAAAAATGAGCTCACAGGGCAAACTGCTGTCCCCCGAATGGGAGCGACCCACAGGCAGACACAGAGAATCTCAATTTATCAGAGCAGAAACCTCCCTGGGAACCAGGTGTGTGTGCAGAAAACCGGGACTGTAGTTGACTTGTAGTTGACAAGTCGCTGGAGGTAAGGTGTGGACAAGTCTGAGAGGTAAAAACTCCAGGGCAGGGTACAGGGTGTGTGTGTGGGGGGGAGGGGATCCCACTTCTAAATTTTACCTCCAGGGGCTCCACCAGGTCCTTACTAAATATCAGAGAATCCCTTGGTTCTTCGCAGGGAGAGAGGAAAAGTCACCATTTTAAATATACCATAGCACTGTGTTCTTCTTGCTCTTGGAAGAAACTATTTTACCAGAACCTAACCTGCCGGGGGGAAGGGAAATACCCAGCTCTAGCCTCACTTGGCTATCTTGTCCCACCTAAGTGGGGGGTGGGGGGTGGATTCTGAGAAGCACTGGTGAAGTTCACAGTCCAGGGGCACAGACTCACCAACACACTGAGACGGAATCATAGAACTATATAGTACACTTCCCCCGCCACCCCGTCAAGATGTCGGTTCTTCCCAACTTGATCTACAGATTCAATGCAATCCCAATAAAAATTCCAGAAAGTTATTTTGTGGATATTGACAAACTAACTCTGAATTATACATGGAGAGGCTAAAGACCCAGAAAAGCAAATACAATATTGAAGGAGGACTGACATTATTTGGCTTCAAGACTTACTGTAAAACTATAGTAATCAAGATAGTGTGGTATTGGCAAAAGAATAGACAAATAGACCAACAGAACAGAAGAGAGGGCCTGAAAATAGACCCACATAAAAGCCGTCAACTGATCTTTGATAAAGGAAGAAAGGCAGCACAATGGAGCAAAGATAGTCTTTTCAACAAATGGTGCTCAAGCAACTGGACCTCCACATACCAAAAAATGAATCTAGACACAGACCTTATACCGTCCATAAAAATTAACTCGAAATTGAGCATAGACCTAAATGTTAAGAGTAAAACTATGAAACTCCTAGAAGATAACATAGGAGAAAGCCTAGATGACTTTGGGCATAGAGATGACTTTTTAGATACAACACCAAAAGCATGATCCATGTAAGAAACAATTGATAAACGAACTTTATTAAAATTAAAAACTTCTGGTCTGCCAAAGACAATGTCAAGAGAATGAGAAGACAAGCCAACAGACTGGGAGAAATATCTGCAAAAGACACATCTGATAAAGGACAGTTATCCAAAACATAGAAAGAACTCTTAAACCCCAGCAGTAAGAAAACAAACAACTTAGTTAAAAAGGGGGCAATGACCTTAACAGACACCTCACCAAAGAAGAAATACACATGGCAAGTAAGACCATGAAAAGATGTTTAATATCACATGTCGCTAGAAAACTGCAAATTAAAACAAGAAGATATCACTACACGCCAATTAGAATGGCCAAAAGCCGGACCACTGAGAAGAGTACCAAGTGCTGGTGAGGGTGTGGAGCACCAGAAACTCCTTCACTGTTGGTGGGAATGCTAAACAGCACAGGCGCTTTGGGAGACAGTTTGACAGTTTCTTATAAACTAAACATACTCTTAGCATGTGATTCAGCAATCATGCTCTTTGGCATGTACCCAAATGAAATGAAAACATATGTCCACACGAAACCTTGCACAGGGATGTTTATAGCAACTGGATTCATAACTGCCAAAAGTTGGAAGCAACCAAGATGTCCTTCAGTAGGTGAATGGATAAATAAGCTGTAGTTCACCCAGATAATGGAACATTATTCAATGCTACAAAGAAATGACCTATCGAGCCATGAAAAGACATGGAAAAACCTTAAGTGCATATTACTAAGTGAAAGAAACCAATCTGAAAAGG